GTTTATTTTAATAAAAGTTGGTGAATGTATTTATCTTACTGTAAATAACAAGTGAAAAAATTTTCAGCCTTATCAGTTGGACATTCCGGTTTTTATACTGCTTTTTTTTAATTCACTAACGCTCTAAAAGTGCATATTTCAGCCGCAGTAAAGAATCAACGTTGGCGGATCTTGGTTCTTGACATCCTTTACGGTCGGTTACGATGCCTAGAGTACGGAGACCTGTACGATTTCGTCAACTTAGTGAGTTTGATAGGCGCCGTATAGGGGGACTTCGGGAAGCTGGACTTTCTTTTCGGGCAATTGCAGTTAGAGTGCAAAGAAGTGTAGACACTGTGGTTAGGTGTTGTCAGGCATGGCTTCGAGAACGCCGTACGCAAAGAGCAAGGGGCACTGGACGCCGTCGTAGAACAACAGACCGTGAAGATCGCCGCCTAAGATTATTGGCCTTAAGGGACCGTTTCTCTACTACCAGGTCCATTGCAAATGAATGATTTGCAGAACACGGAAGACCTATTGGCATGCGAAGTGTTTACCGACGAATGAGAAGTTTTGGCTTGTTTTCATACCGGCCTCACTGGGTCCTCCCTTTAACTCGAGAACACCGACGTAATCGCCTTGAGTGGTGCAGACAACGGTCACTCTGGGATCAGGAATGGAACAGTATTGTCTTTAGTGACGAGTCTCGATTTTGTTTAGGCATGCACGATGGTCGTGCCAGGGTTAGAAGGCGACGTGGTGAAAGGAGGAATCCACAGTTTTTTGTTGAAAGACATGTTTCACACTGTTGGAGTTATGGTTTGGGGTGCTATAGCTTATGGTTCCAGGTCACCTTTAATCTTCATCAGAGGTAACATGAACGCGCAGCGTTATATCCACGAAGTTCTAGAACCCCATCTTTTACCCTATCTTGACACCCTGGCAGATCCAACTTTCCAACAAGATAATGCCCGACCACATGTTGCAAGAGTCACAATAGACTTCTTTCAACATAATGATGTCACATTGTTACCATGGCCACCAAGATCTCCCGACTTATCCCCAATTGAGCACGTGTGGGATATGATGGGTAGGAGATTGCTCAATTTGCAACGTCCTCCTCAGACTCTAGAAGCACTGCGAGAGGAGTTGGTGGTTGCCTGGAATGAGATACCACAGGAGGACATTGACCACCTGATCAGAAGCATGCCTAGGCACGTTGGAGAATGAGTAGCACATCAGGGTGCATCCACACATTATTAAAGGTCAAAGGGCTTTAAAGCAGTGCAATCATTTTGAAATTTTTATCATTTACTTATTATGCTTCATTAAGAACTTATACAAAATTATATTAAAATAAAACCATTTAAACTGGGTGTTCGGATTTATATGTCACTTAGTATATTCTAATACTATAATTTTTCAATATTAAATCGTCGTTTTTCCCGTCACAGAAAAAAATTGTGTGTATTGTATACGGGAAAAATACTAGATTTTAGCTTTCGGCTTTTTGTCTACACCCTCAAGCTAAAGTCTAGCACTTTTTTCCCTTGGATAATAAATAACATAAATATTTGGGTCGCAACGGTGACCTTTTTCACAACTTACAAACTTAAAATTATCTTGACAATATATTTTATTTCTGTCTTCCAGGTGACACTTCGTTTGTTTTGTCATTTTCGTATTCCTATACAGTATGTTACTACAATAGTATGAAAGGTCCCGTAACATGATGAGATACATCTTTTCAAATTTTAAGTTGGCACCACGCAAAACCAGCATAGCCCACGAACGCCTGCGGGTAGGCACCCCCCACACGTACGGCCCTCAAAAGAGAAAAGCGAGCATACGGTTATCTGTCGCTTAATTGTACCAGATACGCCACCCTCGTCCATTGTACCGAAGACGCCAAAAGCCCACCAAAAAACGTGAAACCCCACCCAGAACTCATTTCGTAACACACCGATTGATTGTCAATCAATTTTCGACTAAAATGTTTTAAATTCATTGTTTATCGACCCGAAACGGGAGAAATCGTACTTCGACATTCAAAGGGAACTATGTTGTTTGTCCTGTGCAAATAATAAACACAACAGTTTGCCATTGGGATGGAGAAGAAAAACATCTGCGCGCATCAAGAAACCCTTAGAAAAAACGTGGAAAAAAACTCATAATCCATACGTTTGGTTGGAAAATATCAGGATCAAGAATATTCAACCAAATTACGTCACGGTCCCAGTAGCGACGCGTGACTTTTCCTAAACTGTTACCAAAACCAGATGTGAAAGATCTTATTTAAAAAAAGTTTATCTTGAACCTACCAAATATAAGTTTTTGCTAATTTTAGGTATTTTATTTCAACTTTTTTTAAATTAAGGTAAACATTGCCGCACTGGGCGTCTGGGCACTTGATATACCTCATCGCCTTATACTATGACAAATCCAGGCCTTCCGAAAAAACAGATGACGTTTCTAGATGTTCGGAAAATGTTTGATCTTTTTTGGCAATTAATGTTAACAATTCTCTGTAATTTCCAATATTGCCAGAGTCATCCACTTCAAAATGACCCCGAAATGGTAATTCTTGTTTGGCCAAAAAAGATACGGCATCTATAAGAGGGCTGCCTAAAAGCTTAGTAAAGACAACTTTCGATTCTTGTTTTGCCAAACTGCATCAAATTGGCTACACATCTCACATGTAACGAAAAAATTTCATGTCTCCTCTTTAGAGCCCTAAAACTATTTAAATCCTTGACTCCGCTGCTGGTCCATATATTTTTTTCTGTAGAAAACATAAGACATGGCCAACAATACAATCTGTTTTTCTCATAACCAAGAGTTTTCACTATATAATTTAAAATATCGAACTTCTTTTTTATTCCTTTTTAAAATCATCTAAAATAAGGTGTTGGGTCTTCATTTTCAATGATCTCCTTTTTTTCTTCACAATTATATAAGGAGAATGACTTTTTAAGTAGTTGATCGATTACGCAGCGACATTTATCCTTGTAATTGCACGCACTCTACAGCCGCTAACTAAAACGGCTACTTAAGAGTGAGAAGTCAGTAACCAAAACAAAAAGTGGTAACAAGCCCTCATAATAGTCGCAGCGGCCCACGCACTCTGGCGACCGCGATCAGACACGAGCCGGCTCCGACGGTCCCCGATGGACTATCAAGTGTATCCGTAAACGAAAATGGTAACAACTGACAACCAAGTCGAGGCGAGTCAGCTTCATCGCGTTCGCAAAATCTAGATAGTATAGGGCGCATTATTTTCTTGTGGCTAATTTGCTATTTACTGAAGTACTATTACATGTTGCTGTTGGTAAACATATAAATGAAATTATTTCACAGCACTTAGTCATAAAATATTTATTTTCAAGATTTTTAACTGTTACCAATGGTAACATTGGTTACATGGACGCTTCGCCACTGCATGGACCACAGAAGAACTAGAAAGACAATTCAAATGGAAGGTAAAGCAATCAGCCTACATAAAATTGAACAATTATTATACAGTGGTATAGGAATATGACAAA